CTCAACCCTACACCCTAAAAACCCTCAACCCTCCGCGCCTGATCGCTGTCCACGCCGTCGAGCCGCTCGGAGCTGCAGCGCTCACCTCTGCTGTCTTGAGCTTAGAGTCTGGAGTAGAGGGTTTAGGGCTTAGAGTAGAGAGTTTAGAGTTTAGAGTCTGGAGTAGAGGGTTTAGGGTTTAATGTAGAGGCCTTAATAATTAGAATAGGGTTTTGGAGGTTCCATGAGTTTAGAGTTTAAAGTAGAGGGTTTAGGGTTTAGGGTTTACGGTTGTGGGCTTAGGGTTCAGGGTTTAGGGTTCAGGGTTTCGGGTTTAGGGGTTTAGGGTTTAGGGTTAAAGGATGGTTTAGGATTTAAGTCTAAGGTAGCATGGTGGCGGTAACCTTAGAAGGGTTTTCCGGCTGCTGTCAAACCCCACCCCACCCCTTTACAACCACTACAACAAAGCAGACTTACCGGTAATAAGCATCCACAGCAGCCTCTGCAACCCTATCGGAGCAAGCTCAACAATAAATAGGCAACAAGCACAAATCAAACCTAGCAGCCGTACCCCAAAGGCAGGCACCAGAATCAACGTAATATAGTCCACTACACCAACCCCTTAGGCCGCCAAGCATGACCCCGAATTAACTCCACATTTATTGATGTCGATAGCTTCTTGATGATCGTTCTTCATCGTTTCTCCTTGCTCAACAAGCTAGGGTCTTAAGTGTTAGGGCTTTGGTTCCTAAACCCAAAAACCTACCTTTTTAAGGACTTATAATAAGGACCCCTAAGAAGGTGGGGGGGGTCCGGTAGGGGGGTTTACAGGGATGTAGGGGTTTACGGACAAGCAAGGGCCTTGTAGGGGCTTCAAAGGGTCTTGCAACATGTGCTGCGCTGGGGTCGAAGATCTCAGGGTGCAGGGTTACAATCAATAATATATATATATATATATACATATGTATATAAATATATATATATATATGTATATATATATATACACGGGTTGCTAATTAGAAGGGTTGCTCTAAGGACTCTCTCCTGTCTTCTGGGTGCCGGATGTGGCCGAGGATTCTGGGCTTTAGAGTGGTCTACATGGTTTTTATGGTGTGCTAGAGGGTTTTATGTCGATTTGAAAACGTTTTATAGGGGGTTCTGCTTTGTTGATTTGCCTTCTCGTGGGTGTAGGGTGCGTTGGGAATTCTACTAGGGCTTCTTAAGGTTCTATGAACCTTCTATAAGGGTGTAGGGATCTGGTTTGTGGGGTTTAGTGAGGTTTGGAGCTCAAGATTGCATTTTCTGATATGTCGCCTCCTTCTTAGGCTGCTAGCTTGTCAACCGTTTAGGGTTATGTAAGGGTTAAGAGTTTAGGGTTTATAGGGTTGAGGGTTCTAAACGCGAAACCCGAAACCTAGCACCACTGGGCCACTACCAGGGCCAAGCAACATAGGGGCGCCGATCGGGCTTTATGCTTGTATGTAGAATGTTATACTGTAATTACACGGAAGAAGCCTGAATCAAACTACCATACACAAGTCAGCATTTACATAAGAAGGTTGGATGGATACTAAGTCCCATGCTACCTGACCCTAAACCCTACACCCTCAGCCCGAGACCCTATACCCTAAACCCTACACCCTATATCCTAAACCCCAAGCCCATCAGTGACTCCATAGAACCCGCAGTGTCAAATCCAAAGTCCCCAACCCTAAACCCTAAACCCTAAACCCTAAACCCTAAACCCTAAACCCTAAACCCTAAACCCTGAACCCGAAGCGCTAAGCCCGGCCTAGGGTTTCGGGAATTTGGGGCTTCAGGGTTTCGAGAAATTTGGGGCTTCAAGGTTTCAGGGTTTGCAGGATTTACAGGGTTTCCGGGGTTTGGGGTCTCAGGGTTTAGGAATTTGGGGTTTCAGGGTTCAGAGATGTATGAAGGGTTTCAGAGTTTTGGGTTTAGGGCTTACGGCCTAAATCTGAAACCCTAAACCTTAAACCCTAAACCCTAAATCTGAAAGCTCGAAATCTGGGCGCCCCCAACGGCCGCTGTGCCCCGGGAGAGGCCGGCTACTCCGCGCGAGGAGCGCTTGGAACACGAGGCCAGACACCTCGAGGGTTTAGGGTTTAGGGTTTAGGGTTTAGGGTTGAGGGTTTAGGGTTGAGGGTTTAGGGTTTAGGGCTTAGGGTTTAGATCCTTTTCAAACGGGAAAATTAAATGAAAGCTGTCTCCAAAAATGCCTACCTAGGGAATCTTTGCGATAGTCAACAAGAAAGGCTTTCGTGTGGCGGTGGTGCCTGCACATGGTGCGTCTAGTTTGCGTTGAGGTCTAAGGTTAATAGAGGGGCCTTAACAATTAGAATAGGGTTTTGGGACCAATTAAACTATGTTTGTAATAAGGAGCCCCCAAAATAGTATTGGTCGTTACTTAGGCCCTTAGATTACAAGTGACTACGGTTTACGGGCTTGACACATGCGCCGAAGTGCAGGCCAGCTGCAGTCCGCAAAACCGAAGCTGCTGTTGCGGCTGCAGTTGCATTGAAGTAATGCAGGGGCGTTAACAATTCGAATAGGGTTTTGGGGGGTTCCTTATATTTGTAAGCATAGTATGATATACCCCCAAACCCTATTCCAATTATTAGGGCCCCTACAGTAGTCGCCCACCATTTCAACTGGGCTTCTCGCCTTCCAGACCTCGGCCACATAGAAGGGGCCCCTAAACCCTAAACCGTCGCTAAATCCAGCGTTGCTCCTAGATGTTCGGACCTACAAAAGACTCTCAGCGTACCCGCGGCCGTCAACGGCCCGATGGAATTCTCAAGCCCCGAAGGGGATTTGGCAATCTCGGATTCAGGAGTTCAAGGGGGTTTAGGATCGAGGTTCACGGCTTAAGACATGCGATCGATGGGGGCTTGATAACGGTATTGACTATGCACTTGTGACCCAAACGCTGTGTACACCCCAATCCCTGAACGCAAACTCTACCCATCACTAAGAAGACGGAAGTCAGCGACTCCTCAACACCGACACCTGAAAACCCAATAGCTGCATGCTTCATGGCTTCGGATTTAGGGTTTAGGGTTTAGGGTCTGAGGAGGAGGGGAAGAGGCTTGTGGACATGAGTATGTTGAAGATGATAACGTGATCCCCTCAACCCTAAACCCTAAACCCTGGTAGTCGGCACCTGCTACGGCCGCCGATGCTGAACGACGTGTCGAAGTCTGCAACTACTGCTGTTGATATAAATCCTGCATTACCTTAACGACCCGGGTTTAGGGTTTAGGGTTTAGAGTTTAGGGTTTAGGGCATTACCTTAAGGACCCTAAATTATGGGAATTATGGTATAGTCCTAGTTATGGGTAATGCAGGATTTATATGATCAACCGTATAAGCCCTTCACTTCAACATCAGGCTCACCAAACCCAAGTGCCTAGTTCTCCGAAGCCTAAACCCCTAAACCACGAACCCTACACCCTAAGCTCTAAACCCGAAGCCCCAAGCACCAAACCTCAATCCCAAGCCCCAAACCCCAAACCCTAAACCCAAACTCCAGACGTGAGGACGCTGTTTTACCCGAAACCCTAAACCCCAAACCCCCAAAACCCCGAAACCCAAACTCCCCCCTAAATTCTAAACCCTAAACCTTAAACCCTAAACCCTAAACCCTAAACCCTAAATCGTGGCGCTCATCGCCTGCTCGCCGATCTCCGCCGCCAGCGCTGGCAGCGTCTCGGTGAGGAAGGTCAGGGCCTCTCCCAAAGCCCCGAAGATGGTTGGGGGTTTAGGTTTAGGGTTTAG